GCTACAATATACACTGTTAACCGATTAATAATAAATATATTTAATATCAAATGGAGATACATAACATATATTACGGGTTAAATGTGTTTATCTCGGTTGTGGTAGATTATAAAAAGATGTGTGAAACATTAAATTTTAAATAAATTGTCATTTAAATCACTATAGAAACATTTGATTTTGACAAGAAGGCGAAATAAATTATTAATAATATAAGCAACCCATTGATTCTAACAAAAATATAAAATACTGATTTGTATAATATGTGTACAGGGATATATTGTATTCGATATGTGCAGTTATGTTCATGGTATCTACTCCGTATATTGTGTTATAATAATTCGCAGTTATGGCATCGTATATCTAATAATTATTTTATGGTTTAAGAATTTACGATTAAAGTGATAAAATTTGGCACTCTAAACTCAAAATGTCGGTTTCAAACCCGTAAAACATTTAAATGGTTTATTTAAGAAAAAAAAAAAACATTACAATTTACAACCTAAGCATAAGTACGCAAAATTATATTGTAATTCAGAGGACCTCGTACAATAGTTATCTAACCTATTTATATTTTTATTTTGGTAATTTTCTCAAACCATCGAAGATCAAAAACAATTGTGTAAATAAGTTATATGTATGTTGTTCTTCTCGATTAAATATAACGTCATCTTATTTTTAGTTTTCATAGTGACACTACTAACGATATATGCATACGACACACTCGCCTGTCATATGTGTGTCTGTGTATGTAGTGATGGTTAGCTAGTGGATACTGCATATGGCATGTCCGGTCGTTTTCAAACCATCAAGATTTAACGGTTATTTTACAGTAAATGTTATTTTTTCTCGGGCGCTTTTTGTGTCCGCGTAATAGCCAAAATCGATTTTTCGTACACAATGCATAATATATATATATATATATCATATATCGTAAAAATACATGGCGGACCCTTAACACGCGTAGACTCGATAATATGATATATTATATGCCATGGTTACACGACAGCGGAAAATGTTAATGTTCAGATAACGTTCTGGATAAGACACATACAGGTATACGCTTTTATACTTTAACTACTTATACGGTAAATTTCCCGTCCGATTGTGTGCGTTCGAACAATGCGTGCTAGACAAGAGAATTGTTATGTGCTACTACTGCTATTTGTACATAAAATTAATTTTGTTGCTCAACTGCGTATAATATTATGATGCACATAGTAATATTCAAGACTTAAATGTTGTAAACAATTATATAAGCATTGAAGACGATAACGATAACAATGTGTTCGATCGAAAATCAGAGGGATAAGAACACAGAATTATTGTGTATTTAATTCCACGATAAAAGCACAATAATACTGTCTACGTTAATGATAACGTTATGAAATGTAAACTAGAAAAACTATATACCTAGTATTGTGTTGTTATTATGTGACAAAAACTACAATGACAAACTAATAAACATAATGAAAGTATAAAATCATGTTTTGTACTGATGGTATAAAATCTTTGATTTTATTGTTTTTCAACACCATGCAATATTACGTGAACATTATTCGATTATAAATCCAAACGGGTAGGGAATGAAAGTTTGACTTTTTAATTTATATAATATTATGTTTTTTTAAACGATTTATCAATCGTTTAAATTTTTGTAATACATTATTAACCAAATGTTTTGTTGAAAAACCATTTTTTTTTCTTAGATTCCAATTGATTTCGTTTATTTCTTGTAATTTAAACATGTGTTATTGTAAAAACTGAATTTTTCTCCAAATGACATTCATGCAAGTATAATATTTTTTAGTTATAATATAAATTTATATATTTTATAGTTATATTTATACTATTAATTATAGCTTTTTATTTTATTTATTTTTTTAATTTTTATTTGATTCGTGTATTACAAAGTGTTTATTTGTAAGTAAAAAAAGTTTGAACATTTAATACAAGGTTTTATGTAAGGTTATCTTGCAGTGATTAAAAAATATGTTATTAAATGTAGCAGCCAACGGTTAAAGCTGTCACAGTTTAAATGGAAAAATTAAAAATAAATAATAAATTTGTCGTCTCCAATTGATTAGCCTCAATTTGTTTGATAAATTACAATATAATAATTATGGTGGTAGTCTTTTAAAATATAATACAATTATAGTATGACGTAACGAACGCATTCAAACATAATTTCCGTCTTCGATCGGTGGCGGTGTGGGGAGGGGGTGTATTACGTTGGTGTTTTAGTCAGTTTATTATAATATTTTATTTTTTGACTGATTTCGTTTAGGTTTTTAAAAAAAAAAAAAAAAAAGTTATTTTTGTTATTATTACTTCCTGGTTGGCACACCCGACGTCAATGGTTAGTGATGGCGATTGTAATTGTATGATGGTAACGACGAATAATTCGTGACGGCGGCGGCGTGGTGCTGCAGCAGTGACAGTCCAGCCGAAACGATCGTTCACCGATCTGAAACCGATGGACGGAAGAGATTAACCGGATAAATTTGCACCCCGTTTTATAATGATATATATAATCATGTCTCATATGTGTCCGAGTACTAACATGTTTTATCGTAATGTGTAGCACAATGGAATTAACTTGTATGCACTACACATATTATGTATACGTATATAAGTACACCCACAGATCGAAAAAATAAAACAATATGTAAGTACCGGCGGCGCAAGTATTACACATAATGTATACGTGTGTATCTACATACGGCAGGATTCACACCTGAGTGATCTCCGACGGTGGTGGCCGGTCAATGCCAACGGTGCACGTATACATTATATTATATTATATTATTTTATTATATATATATATATATATTATATTGTACCTGAGCGACGGCAGCGTCGGTTTTTTTTTTTTTATCGGTCTAACGTATCTGCATGTGAGCCGTGTAGGTACACATCCTGTCGAGCCGATTTCCGTAACCCTGTTTTATTGTGTTGTCCCGGCGGCTGACTTAATTTTCGTCGATATACGATATTACAACAACGTGTCACGGTGAAACCTATTCGAGGACATCGTCCAAGGGACATCTAATGTATAAATGGTGAGATATTGGAGAGGTGTCCATTGTCGAGTGTATAATACATTTCGCATAAATCGTAAAAACGTTCTTTCTCTTAATTGTATAATATATTATTTATTTTCGTTTTCAACTCGTCCACAAACTTTGACAATTGCATTGCACAATAAATAATCAAATTCGAAAAACAATCGATTTTAAATGAATCCTCATATAAAAATACTTATAAAACTGTATCGGGCTTATAGAACTTTAAAAAAAAATGATTATCGTTAAAAAATAAATATATAACTGAGCTTATTAACATTTATTAAGTTTAGAAAATAGTATTAAAAATTATCCATAATTTAAATACAAGCTTAAATTAAACCAGCAAAATAAATTTAGTTTAAATACATTCCTGTTAATTATAATAGAATTCAAATTATAGAGGTACGAGTAATTTACAAAATTTTCCTTTATTATAACATCACTACATTAGAAATTTCTAAGAAAATATAATTTTATTGATGATTTGAAAATGTTTGTGTCATTATCATTTATTGAAATGTCCAAAGTGTAATTAAATAATAAAAATAAAATTAGTTGGTTATTATTTATGAAAACATTTAATTTAAATTTTAAATTTCACAACTAAACATTTGTTTAACAATATAAATGTTGAGTAACTATTTTAGGTTTAAGAATCTGAGCGAAATTTGAAAAGTAAGTTAATACAGTAATACATTAGCTATGTAAAATAAAATTATTACGAGTATAATCCAAAAAAATTAAATTAATCTTAAAATATATTTATCTTCTATAGGTGCTGGTGCTAGACTTAAATAATTTATGATAAATCCTTTATTTTATAAACTGAATTATAAAAAAATTTAAAACTAGAATGCAGGAAATTTTATAATTTCTTTAGTAATTTTTAGATTATTTCAGACGTTTATAGAATGGAAATATTTAAAAATAACTTCTAATTCTAACTATAAAAATAAATTATTTGATATTTCAAATTATATAATACTAAAACCTTTCGAAGCAATCATTCCATTAGAAAAACATTAACAAACGTGAGAAAAAAGAAATTTTTAAACAATATTATAAAACTATCATTGTGATATTATATCTAATTATCACAATCATTCTGATTTACTTAAAACATTATTCCAACCGTGCATATAATCTTCTTTTCTTTCACTCTTAATAAAATTGAACGTTACTCAATAAAATATATATATATATTTTTTTTTTTTGTATAATTATTAAAGAATAAAAAATATTAATGTTGTGTTTATTTAAATCCATTATACGGTTTTAGAAAAGTTGACCATTTGTAGCTGTTTGATACAATAGAGTTTATGTATACATATTCTAGTATATACAAATTTTTTCCCGTGTCTATTTTAATCGCTTTCTTAAATTTTGGAGGACAATTTCTAATAGCATTCGATTTTTGAAAGTAATGCACATATATTTTTTTTCGACTGTCTAATAAAGCATTACATTTTATAAAATTTCCATGTACTCGTAAACATCATAAGTCTTATTTTTCTTTATACTAATAATAATTACCAACAGATATTATAATATGACTGATAAAAATAACTGTAAAATATACTAGCTCATCGACGTACTTCGTCAAAAATAACATTATAAAAATATACTATGGATATTGACGGATGTGTGGCATAATAATATAATACTCGCAACAAATTGGGTACCTACATTTTTACCTACTAATAAAATATTATATATTATTATAACCTCTTTACGCCGCAGCCAGGTATCGCCGCCAACACCGGACGCACAACAAACGGTTGCCATGTACACATACCACGGTATAATATATTAGTGGGATTGCGATCAACCGAGGACAGCTGGTCTAGGTCAAACACAACGTATTTTTTTTTCCACCGCGTCACCATATTGTTGTAAAATCGTTATTTTACACGGCGCTAGTCAATTTCGTCCGAAATGGCTCGGAGGACCGTCGAAAATTTCAACGGGTTCGTGGCGGCAGCGGTGAGACTCGAATAAACGCGTCACTGCCATCGTTCGTATGATATTAATTTCAAACGGCAATATTCTGTTTCAGGCCCGTCCGCCGCCGAAGAAATCCACCGCAAAACCAACTGCGCCAAGCCGAGCCAAGCCCGTGACAACGGTGGCCGGAAAAAAGAACTTACCGGCGCCCGCTGTGAGGACTACCGGCGTGGCGTCGCTTGCGCCGCCGACCAGGAACAGTCAGTATTGCTAAACGACACAGTTGGTACCAGTGGCGCGGTGAACTTGAAACTTTTCATACGCTATGGTCGAAAATGCCATAGACAATACACCAACTCACCTACCCAAAACCTAATTAACGCGTTGACTGTCATATTTTTTACAACTTATCGGAGCAAACACTAAAATATTAGTTAATATTAAATGTTTTTTTTTCCGTCGGTCGTCATCCATCCACTCACCAGCCATAAGAGAACACTAAAAGGCAGTCGACTCATGATTATGGCTTCGCCGCGCCACTGTTGCCGTCTTTCATCAGTCCAAATATGATAATATCATATTATATATATTACTTACATTGATCACACGCCCGTCATCGATTTTATTATTATTTAATGATGGTTGGCGGCGAGAGGGTTGGGCAAAAGTTATATTATAGCATAATATCTACCAGTGCTTTGCATTATCGCTGAAATTATTTTCACGAACATTTTATTGCAGTGCAAATTATATAAGTGGTTTGAATCATTTGTCAGAGGTCACAATATTTGTATTAAATCCACGTTCGTAAAAATATCCAATGTACGAGTGCTTCTGTGCAGATAAAAAACTTAAAAAAAACGTACTTAAGTGTGTTTTTATATATAAACTATGCTTTAGTATTGATTATATCTTATTATTATTATTATTATTACTGCTATGTATATTATTATTAATAAACAAGCGGAAAGCACTTGAACTAAAAACTATATTTAGATACGAATTTTTTTTAAGAGTTTTATAATTAATAATTCAGCTACAATTGTACCTTTTAATGAATTATAAAAAATAAAAATAAATAGTCTTAGCATTAAATTACATTTAATGATTTCAGTGTTTGTGCCGTCTTTGATAATAATATGCGTTATATAAAGTTACGACTTTTATACAATTTAAATTTAAATTAAAGTAAGGAAGAAAGGTTGGTAAATAAAGGATTGAAAAGAAAAACAAAGAAACATTACAATAACGTAAAACAAAAAACGTTTATGAACGAAAATAATTTTAATCTTTGGACAATAAATATATTCAAACTACTTTTTGGATTTATTCTGGTTACCAATTTCTTTAAATATAGTTTTTATTAAAAATAATAAAAAAAAACTAATTATTTATTATAGTTCGTGTTTAAAATTATAAATATTAAAAACTAAAAACTTAATACTATATGAATTATTTTAGAATATTAAACATTTTATTATACTCATAAAATTAAGTAGGAATTCCAAATAAAGATGATCACGTACTTGTGTATTTTATAAATATACTAACTACCTATTACTAAAGTAATATTATAAATTTTATAATTTAGATCGATAATATATTTCATAAATTATAATTCCATTTTCAGACACAATGTTGGCATAATGATATATGCCATTAGATATACATTTTTATGATATAAATATGTTATTATTATCAAACAATATATCTTAACATTTAACTCTTTATTCGTTTAAATTTTTATACTTTCAATTATTTCTATGTTTGAATAGCATTTATTTTTATTATATACTTTGATATTTTAATATATTACTACAATCAGTTTTTTAAAGACATACTTTTTATAAAAGCCAGGATCCCAAAATATTTTTCGATCAGCATACTATAATATTTATTTTATTGTACATTTTATCATTATCTCGATACTGTAACTAAAAATCTTTATATATTTTAGAAGGTAATTAAACTATACGGCTGTTATTCGTATATTTTTACAAAATTCCAGTCTAATATTTAGTGCTGTACCATAACTAATACATTTATCATTTAATTTGTCAGTTAAATACGTACACGCACCAAATGCATATTATATAATATATTTTGTACCCCCTGCTAGTTTTGGGCCATTTTAATAATTGATATATCTTACATAGAAAATTGTATTCCAATAAATTTGATAAGAATAAAAACGTGAATTGCTTGGTAAATTGAGTTTGACAAAATACGCTCCAGAAATCTAAACATAATTGTATCGGAACCTAAAATAATACGTTTATTTAAAGCTTGTAAAATTATTAATTACTAAATAATAGGTTTAATAGGTTACTTAATGTTTGTATTAATTATTAGTGGATAGTTTTTATAAGATATGGTTTTAGGTTACCAACTATCACATAGAAATTGTATATTTCTAAGTGTGGTTTTAGAAAATATTTTGTTGTCTATCTTGAATAAATTTGTTGTAATAATTTAAAGTTACGCACGTAATTATTCACATCATTGAATGAATAAAAACAATACATTGGTTGAAATAAAAAAAAAATGTTATGATCAGTAATGAGTAATGACAAGTAATCTGAACAAAATCTTTTGCATACTTTTAGATTTGTTTAATTCAATATTTTTCTGAACTAGGTTTATTTTTCTCTTTTTGCTCTTATATGTTTATATTCATAATAATTACAATTTAATATTGATTTTATTTTCATTGGTTTAAGTTTTTATTGTATTGTATCTTATCTTATTTTATTTATTTTTTTGTTACTTAATAATTGTAAACAGAGCCATAATTCTTGCGTGGATCGTTTGAACAAACACAAGACACCATTTTGTATTGGCTTTTATTGTTGCTTAATAACAATTTTCACTTTTGTTGACTAACCATATGTTACTTAAATAATAAACATTATAAATTATTATTTTTCAGGACTTGCAAACGTTATAATAACGTTATGATTTTAACGTTATATTTGACGAAAAACCATTGAGATTTGTAACGTAATTATAACGGAAAAAGATTAACATAAATAGTTAAATAACACAAAACAAAACATAACGCAAAACGTTAAATATAGTATATAATTAAATGAAATAATTAATTTCCAATTATTTAATAGCTATAATTTATAAAATATATTAAAAATTTTAATTCTAAATAACGATATACTCAAAATTTGTGTAACATTTTAATTGTAAATAACGTAAAACAATTTTTTTTTCAAATGCAAGCCCTGTTATTATTCAAACTTAGATATTAAACAGTAAAGCGTAAATTAAGATATAAGTTGCTTTAAAGCAATATCGATATTTATTCTCATTAAATGTAAGACATTTTTTTTAAAATATTATCTTATTTTTTATATTTACATTTTATATAATATTTATTGGATTTTTTTAATGTACAATAAGAATAATTAACTACATTGTACTATCCGACGAGTTTTAAACATTACTTTAAAATAAATTTCGAAAATTCATAATAAAAACTGTGTGTATCATAATACTATATAATATAAATTATAATTTATTCATATTCTTATTATGGTTTTTAAAATTATAGACATTATACATTATATTTAAAATATTCAAAAATATCACAAGAAGAATATATTATGAGGTACATTTTATTTGAAATATTTAGAAGATCAACATAACACCCACCCATTTGCGAAAGTGGAAAAACCGCAACGAAATGTTACTACGAAAAAACCTTCGATCGATGTTCAAAATAAACACGTAAAAGTTAATGTCAGCCAAAATGAAAATAAAATACACAAAGAAGAAAAAACAATTGTTGACAATAGTGTTACAGTTCAAAGCAATTCATCAGATGTATCGGATAACCAAGAATACGAAGATGATTTTGAAGTAAAAAAAAATACAAATAAAAACTATATTTTTAAGAAAAAAAACTATATTCAACAATATTTTTAGGATTATGAATCCGACTTTGAATCTGATACTTCGATCGATTCATTAATAGTTGGATCGACGTTGAAACCAACTGTGCTAAGTAAATCGATATCAAATGACACTGGAAGTCTTAAGTTTGCGCTGCCCATGAGTGTAGAAGAAAAATTAGAACCATTTTTGGATGAAAAGTTTGAAATCAACTCTTTAGAACAGACCATTGAAATGGGCTTAAACAACTTCATAACTGCTGGAAAAAGAAAGCAAGAACAAGAAGTACCTATAACTAATATATATACAACAATTAAAATTTCTTTAAATTTAAATTTGATGTAGGTAAAGAACAAAATTCAAACTAGGGGAAATATTTTGATGGGGATGATTAAGCTAGACATTGTTAGCTTTTCACTATTAGAATTACCAGCAATACCTTATGAACAATATATAAAAATGTATGGACGTTCCAACATGATGCAGGTAAAATTAATTTTTTTTTAGTATAGTGTATTATTTTTTTACTCCTTGAAAATAATCATAATATGATAATAAGATATATTTTTGAAAATAATTATTACAGTAACATAAATTGACGTGTTAAAATATTAAAATTACAATAATTTAATATTGTTAGGTACAAACACAAACTAACGATGAAAACGCAGAGAAGGAAGTACAAACTAATGAAAGTGAAGTAGTCGAAAAATGGACTCAACATCCTATTGTCTTGACTAATTCATTAGACTGTTCATCAATTGAATATTTGAGAGTAAATAAAAAAACAAAATATATAATGCACGTTATTTATAAATAAATAAGTTCTTAAAAATTTAAAATTTTTATAGAATTTGTAGCCAATTTTCGAGTTATGTTTAATACCATAAAGTTATTAATATATTATTAATACGTCTAGCTAATTTTCTAGGCTTTACCAATGGTTGACTATTTTTTTTATTGTTTTTAACGTAATGAAATTTTTTTTAATATGCTTCTAAATAAATAAATAAATAAATAAAAATAGATCATTAATCATTGACACTGAAATAAAAATACTGAAAATTTCAAATAAATTATATATAATATAGTAATATTAAATATTCAGTTTCTACAATAAAAGAAATAAAATTAAAAAATAATAAAACCATGTTTTTCCTGATTTATTTTTTTTCATTGTTGAAACTTTTTCAACGTAACATATGAGTTTTTACTCGTTGATTCATTAAATTAATTTTAATATATTTTTACGCTTTTATGTAATGTATAACAAAATCCACCTTAAAAATCGAGCAGATAGTGCCACGTGTACATGTTTATTTCATTGATCAATTTTCTTGACAGGATGTACTAAATTAGTTAACTTGATAATTGGACAGGATATTACAGAGATAAAACCGATGATGAAAATACCTATTTAAATCATTAATTTACATATACATATATACATATTACATTTTTTTTTTTTTTTTATAGTTAATTTATTCAAATAATTAGTTTTTGAAATATTTAAATATAGATATTCGAAGACTTTAAAGTATATTCAAATGTTTAAAAATGTCTGTACTACGGAATTAGTGTTCTGTATATTGGTACAAACTTCTGTTTCTCAAATTAAAATGCTCCTTTTTATTTTAAAATATTAAGTAAATACATTTTTGAAATATACCTATTTAGAAATTTAAATGAGAAGTTTTTCAGTTATTAAAATGTTTATGCTAAGTATAATAATTCTTAAAAAATTGGATTAAGTATTCATTAAACTTGTACTTTTTTCATGAATTATAAATATTGATGGACTAAAAATTACTAAAATTTCTTAAATTACCATAATTTCCATATCTTTCATACCTATTATTACAACCCTATTATCCTTAGTGCATAATGTTAAATAATTTAATTTATTTACTTATTTCAATTTTGATTATAGTACGACTAAGTAAATAGTTTCAGAAAAATTATCTATATAATTAATTGTACATAAGAGGAGGGAGAGTTATCATTTGAAAAACAGACTTGTGTAACTACACAAGATACTCCTTAAATATTACAAAAAAATCTCAACAATTTGAATACTTTTTTTCCCTGATTAACCAACAGCAGAAAGAGATTTGTTTGAATAATACTACTTATCTGCTGCCATCGTTTATTGGTGAATAAAATGTATAAATAAACACTATATATAATATACAAATACATAATACAAATAAATAGTAACATCTTAGACCAACCTGTGTTGCCGTTCTACTGTTTGCCTGAAGAGTGCTCAGTCGTTGGTCTTACAGTCTTTTAGTATATTTAAAAATTTAAAAAATCTGATTTTGAATAACTGCGTGCCTAATTAAAGCAAAAAAAAAAAGGAAGAACATTTTTGATGAATCGTTCTGTCAATAGTTGTTTATTATGTACTACATTTATTTACATTTAACCAGTATTGTCTCTTGTATGTTGGAAATATAAATATATAAAATTACTTAAGATAAATGCATCATAATATTATATTGTTGCGTATCAATATACTTTTATATTTCAAAAAATATTTACATATAGAATAATGTAATATGTATGTATTATTTTTATAGATGTTTGTATTAGTATTGTGGTTTTAGATTTTATTTTTATGGGAAGACATTCGTAACAAATTGAAATACGTTGGTTCCTTGACTATGGTATATTTATCAAAAATATTTGGAATAGATAATAATAATAAGTAATATATTATGTATAACTTTTTGTATCGTTTGAATCGTTAATAGTTATCATATATTATTAAAACGAGATCGAATGACCGATTTTAAAATTGAAATAAAATCACATTTATTCATATCAAAAAGTTCAAAACTCTATCTATATTTATAGATATAAATAATAAATGTATTATCTAACACTTTTATATACTTAACTAAAATTATTTAAGAATAAATCAACCATCATAATTAGCATAAAAAAATATATACTATACCCATTAAATTATTATGAAATTCATAGGTATTTTTTTGGTTTTCCAATAATTATATTTAAATTTTTTCTTTAATAATACTAGACATAATTTTTATTTTATTATTCATAATAACTAATGCATTTTAATTTTTAATTTATCATTACAAAGTTAATTTTTATAATCTAGAAAAAACACGAGTGAAGAAATATAATTTAAAATAGAAAATAGATATTATGTAGAATCTTATTTTTTATTTAATATCGTTGCATTACTCTCCCATTTGTTCATGCTAGTTAATTATTTAGTACGTAAATTTGAAAAGTTATATATTATATACGTACATTATGGTACGTTATGTTATAGTACAGGATTTTGAAATGTTTAATCTCAATTATTTTTGTGATAGGCGAAATTAGGCGTCGGTGGTACTGGACCACCTGATGATCATCGTCGAATACGCATAACCATGGTAGATCCAGACAGAGTTGTTGAGGTCGCCCAAGTGATACTATTGATGTTGGAACAACAAGCAATGGATCGAACTGAACATAGACTAGTGACTAATGACTGTGACTTGAGCTTCAGCAACGGCCATCTAAGCCCAGCAATTTCCTCCTTGAAATTTCTTGAAAAACATTCAGTCACATCCATAGAGTTTTTAAAAGTCACGTCGATTGTTGAATCACTTGTTACAACGCACGAAGTAAATAATATATTCAATAAATTAGATTTTATTTCAAATAAATTTTTGCTGTAATCTTTTGGATTGTATATAATTTTAAAGTACCTTTAATTTAATTTTTAATATTTTTATTTTTATTAAAAAAAAAAAAAAAAAAAAACAAACAGACAGACAAATCGAATCTGTCAAAACAAATGAAATAATGAATAATGCAAATACTAAAAATCGAAAGTATTATTATACTGATATAATAAATGATATCAGTGTGATAGTGTTAACCTCAGTAGTAAGATACCGGTATTGATATTATAGCCAAATGATAAAGCAATTTTATGAATTATTATTATTGAGATGAAGTTTTAATAACGGCTCAAACAACCTAACAAGTCTTCCGTTTTTGATATATTGTTCTTGTAGAAAATTAATTTCAGATTATTGCAATTATGTTTAAATATTATTTACATTTTGATCGGAATATGTTTAATTTTAATTTTAAAATTAAAATTAATATAGTTGTATAATATTATTTTTCTATTCAGGTGATGAATTCGTTTAATAAATATTTTATATGTATCTGGAGTGTATCAATAACAGAACATCCCGAGTATATTCTCAAGTGTCCTAACCGTGTTACATCACTTTGCACTATTTTTAAGTCAACTATAGGATTTGTTACGGCTGCACACGTGGATGGGTAAAAATAAATAATATTTATGATTCGTTAAGTACCTAATATAGTTGTAACCTACACTTTAGTATTTTTGTATTTTTTAAATAATAACTAACAAATTACACTGTAAAATAATACTTTGAATAAAATATAAACAATTATGTATAAAATAAAGACAAATACTTAAGAAGTTTACAGTAAAATGTTTGAATATTTATATTTTATATTTATGAATATTGATTTTTATTGAAATCTAAATGTAAAAGTTAATTATCATCTGTTTAGAAGTAGTTCATTAAGAATAATATCTACGAAATAATAATATTAAATAGTATCAAGAGCAAAATAAATGAACTAAGAACTATGTGGCGCGATCTAGGTTTTAGCTGTTTAAACTCTAAACATTACAATAATTATTAATGTGTTCAATGTTTTTTAAATAATGTAGAATACTGGGTGACTTGAATAGTATACCAGTTATAATAATTAATACATTTAAAAAAAAAAAAAAAATTATTTTTATAAAATTCGTAATACGAACATTTTTATTATACAAATATAATAAAACCTAATGAGAATTAATTAGCAATGAATTTATGTAATGTGATAATTTGTAAATAATTATTGATTTGTTTTTATTAAATCTAAAAATTATAATATAATATCAATCGTTATATGAATTAATCATAATAATAAAAATTCAAAAATTAGTATAATTAAGTAACTAAATCTTTTGTTTTGAACTTTTTAATATTTTAAAATTATTAGTCATATTAGAATTACGTAGGTACTTTTAAAGACAACCGATGGTTTATGAAACGTTATAAATCAGTATTAAATATTTCTATACAATAATAATTGTATTTTGGGTACTATGACCATTATTGTAAATACAATTTAAAATATGCTATTATGAATGTTAAACTCGTCTTGTAAGTTGTAACACATTCTCGAAATTTTATAGCCACCCAAAACAGGAACTAACGTTTAGCAATCGTATAAACTTAACAGTCTGTAAAATAAAAAAGGGTGTATATTTATGTATTTTTCAATTAAACAGTTTTTAAATATTATAATTTATATAATTTTATACAATATTATTGGTTACATTATTCATCTATGATACAGTTTCATAGTTTATAATATATCAATGGTTTAAATTGCATATATTAATAAATATTGAATTAAATTACTTAGTTTCATTGTTATTATAATTATTGTTTTTATTACATATGTAAACTGTAAAAAGTTACATAATAAAAGTTAAAATTCATATTAAATACATATTATGTGAAATATTTCATTTATTAATATTTTATTAACCAAATTAACTACACAACTTAATGTACAATTACAACAATTGAATTTTGGTACTTGTAGGAGTATATGTGTGTGGGATTTAAGAGAAGCCAAATTACATCACCAAGAAATAGACGGTCTATCTTGTCCATTACGTTCACCGTCCTACAACACTGGTAAAATAAATTGTAGGCAAAATTATTGCCATATTTTTAAACACTGATTGAATTATTTTAGCATTATCGATTGAGCAAGGACATAGGTCGAAAATTGTTGGCTTAAACACGGTAACATATAAAAATGTAACAAACGAAGAATTACCAGACGAGGTTAGTATTTATAAATCAGTATTTACTATATTTACTATTGCTGCTTAATGCATAATTTTCATTAATGTAATATTTTAATTTTGTATAAATTCTTTATTTTTTAAGTCCTCTTACATTAAACTCAAAACAGACTAGTGTATTTTTTTACGGTTTACACTACTAGGTAACGTTAAAAAAAGAAATAAAATAATTTCCTCGTAGGTCTTGAATAACCGAATTTGAACATACAAACATATTAATTGATTCGCGTTTAAAGCTTTGTAGTTTGGACGAAGATTTTGTGTTGATCGTATGGACAGTAGTGGATAGTTGGACAGACGCTTCTGAAGTTTCAGAAAACAAATGTGCGGGCACTGCGCCTTGGAGTTCCGTGAGACTAGTAAAAATGCAAACTTTTAATGCTAATAAAAATGTTCCTAGGTAAGAAAAAAATTGTTTATATACTAAACGTAATGTCAATTTGTCTAACAATATGTATTAGCTAAACTCATCAACAATTTTAGATACTTGTTTAATGGTGTTACGGCAACCTGTTTATGCTTGAATAACAAGCAAGACGCTTTTATTGGTACTAATTGTGGACTGGTATTTCGATACAACTTAGGGGGACACAAAGTATGGCCACCGTATTTTACCTACGAGAATACAGGTAATTAAAAAATTATTTAAAAAATAACTATCTCAAAATAGTCATTTATATAGTGTTCCGATATTATTTTTTTTCTGTAATTGTAATATATTTCAATAACTTCCAATTCAGTCTTGTAGATCTTCAAATATTCATTACTAATTTATTTTGAATCAAACTATTAAATTATATCTATTTTTATTTTTTAAATACCAATGACTTAACTTTATAAAAGTGAATTTATTCTCATTTATCTTTTTATTATTGCTTAATACTTGTAAAAATAATTGCTTAATTAAGTGATAATTGATAAATTTATTATCCGTATTCCATGTCTTCTACAAAAAAGTTCTCTCTAATCAATGGATCAAATAGTTCATTATTCATTTTTATCTCAGAGTTAATCTCAATATTAAGATTAATTTTAATTATAATAAAATCTCAAGTATTGTTTATCTCTGTTATGGAACTACTAAAATTTAGTTTTGTGTATTTGAATATATTTATTTTTTTTTATCATTTTTAGTTTATTTAAATCATAAAACTAATTTTAGTCATTTTTTCAAGATCCAAATTAAAATTATTTCAACCATTTGTATCAAAAAAAAAAAAAAAACTATATGACTTTAATTAAACTTTTCCTAAATTGTATATGCATAGTGAAACTATTAAATTAAATATGTTCTCTCACACACACTATATATATATATGTATGGTAAAAAAAAAAAAATCAATAACTAAGACAACAATTATTTATAATTGTTTTAGCTGAACATTTTTCGGTTAACTCATTGGATATTTGCCCATTTGACTTCAATTTTTTTTTGGTAAGTATTTTTTGTTTCTTTTATTTACTTATTATATTTTATTTTTACATAACTGTTGACAATTCTTGATGAAATATGTCATTTAATTGAAAACCAACATTAAACTTAGTATTCAAAGTTAAAAAAAATATAGTTAAGATATCACCAAACTCGTTTCTTTGCAGATTGACATATTAATATAATAACATTTTTTAATGATTTCTAATGATATTATGAAACAATATAAACATATTTATACATGCTAATTTTTATATAAATAGAGTACAATGAAACAAAATGGAATAGAAATATATTATGATTAATTATGAAATAGATATAAAATTTAGCTACAAGGATACATTCAGGTATATCTAACTTTTCTCCTTACATACATTTATGACTAAAATATGTAAATACTGTATTTTAAAAAGTATAAAATAAATTTTTAAAAAAAAACTTGAAAAACAAAGTAAATTTATATTCAATTATTTTTTTTTTTTACTTTAAAGGTTAGTTAATACTTAATTCTATGTATTAGTATAAAAAAAAAACTAGGTAATAAAAGTAAGCTTAATGTATAATGTACTAGAACATTTTTTAAAATTATAACTAATTTAACAGTAAATTAATTAGTTATTTATATTGAAATAAACATTGTAAATTTAATATTATTATTAAACATTTTAAAATATGATAATTTTAAGGTAGTCTTAAACGTAAATGCATGATTGAAATCTGTATGATATTATCCTTAGTTAAAATGTTTTATATCTACCGTTATATTGCCGTTATAGATATTTATACCTAATAAAAATGTATAATTTGAGAGTTAACATTTTAAACAAACTACTGGTAAAAAAAAAGTGAACAATTGAGTTTATATCATCTCTAAGTACTCTTAATATATGCAAATCAGAATTAAATGTCATTAATCGATTATTTTTCTATGACCATAATATAACGAAGTACGTATATTGCCTATACGAGCCGCCGTGTAACATTCGTGTATTAAGACAAAAAATGTAATTAAAATACCGTGCCCACGACGAATAACAGATAAAGGCTTGTATTGTTATTAAATAAATTATGATTTCAAAGAACCTTTTTTTTTTTTTTTTTAGTTACACTTATAAATAATAAAACGTAAAATATGTGTTTTATATATTTTTAACACTTTCATAATTGATAATTTCAAGACTCTGTAGTTAAGAAAAAAATTTTATCATATAATTATCAGGATAATTTTTCTACAAAAATAATTCTAAAATACTATTTTGGTTAACTAGTTAACTTAGATTTTAAATTTATTTGATACTTCTTCGCAAACGTCTTAAACAAATAACACTTAAACGTTAAGTTCCTCTATATTATGATGAATTATTTAACAGTAGTTTAAGGTTATGTAAGATAGAAAAGTAAAAATAATACTTGGTTAATTTATTTAATACTCATATTGTACATTGTGCTGATTAGACGACTCGAAAATACAAATGGTTTCGGATAGTGGGCTAGGTGCTATTTTAATTACTATTTTAAAGTTTTAACAACTGTGGGTTATATAACAATAATATAACGATCATAAAATACTGGTCTATCAGCTAAGTCACATCAGGCATATCAACTTACGCGTAAAATCATAATAACTCGTTGAAAGGTCTCCGTACAATTATTTAAGTGGAACATACTATACCTGATGCTGTTTTATGCTTTTAATTTTTTTTTTTAAAAATACTATAATATCGTGATACATTATTATTATTATTGAATTAACAAAAATTTAAGAATTTCAATATTTTATGATTACGAATGTTTTGTATGTTAAACTAAATAATAATAATAAATATCATGAAAATCATTTTATACCAATCAATTTTATTTTTTTTTACGTAGCATAATTTGATTAAATATTATCAAAAAACACATATTAAATTAGTAGAATGTACGATAAAAATTGTTCAAACGATTACTGATATGAGAAAAAACGAACGTTTTTAAAGTTCTAAATGCTTCAAAATTATTTAACTCTTGTTAGTTTTAACTGATGTCTTATAACTTATTAAGAAGCATATGCGGTTTGAGTCAGGTTATCGAGTACACCAACATGTCTATTTAAACTGTATTAATCGAGCATACTCTAAGGCGTGCAACTGGATTTCTTATTAATAATTCACTAGAATGCTGACCCGAATATAAATTATCATTTGATAAGGACTTAAACTGTTTAAACGAATATGTAATAGTTCGTTGCGACTACGTAAATTGTAATTAAAATAAAATATATATATTCTATATAATGAATTAATGAAGTATATGTTAATCTTCCATTATGTTTAATTTACTTTATGACATTGAGTTATATTATCTAGACACAACCACGTGTTTGAATAATTTATTAATTTTAACATCACAATTCCAAAAATTTATAGTGTCTTTCATTTTTTATAGTTACTTAAAAATATATGTAAATTATGTTTGAACAATATTAATTATGAAACGATAATATTGTAGTTCACATTAGTATTATTTACGCTTTCAAATTTTTCAGTTTTGTGTGCACCTCGTAGAATTATAAAGTCTTACACAATTTTAATCAGAGATTATAATTTCATATCGTACTTAAAATTTCTATACTTGATATATTTGAAAGAAAAAATATTTTTACCTATCTAATATAATAAAGTAAATTGAACTTCTCTCGAAAAATATTCATTAAAACACGAAGTTAGCTGCAATATAAGTAGTAATACCTGCACCAAAACTTGTGTTTTACTAGCTATTTGCAAAACACGAAATGGTAGTAAATAATAATTAATTTTTTTTTTCGTAAAGATCACGGAAAACAGCTTAGTTGGTGGTTTAATAATTTTGTTTATTAATGCTTATAAAGTAACTAAAAAATATTATACAGACGACCTCATGCTGGCATACTCGTATTTAAGTTAAAAAACGGTATGGTGGTTTTAGTTTATATCACAATATATTAATAAATTGCGAGAATTTATAATCGTATATAACGCTTTAACAGCTATCGCAATTTTTTTTCTATATTTCATTGTCTAAAATTGTATTTGAATTTTTCGTTCGTATTTTACATACATTTAACCTGACTATACACACCCTTGCCAGAATAGCTTATCCAGTTTGGCGTTTTAATTGAAGTGCGTCGTAATAATATTTTCAATGTGCACAGTGCGGCCAGTTGACCATGCTTGTGTTTAATTAACTAATGGCATATCCTAACAAGAACGGACAATAAACTTGTATATTATACATACTTCTGCATGTTGACCTAATTATAAGTAGAAAGATAATAGTACCTATTGCAAACAAAAGGGCAATTGATTGCACATTTAAAGACTATTTTGTACACAAGAGACGATGTCACTATATTATAATTATTTTGTTTTCACGTGGTACATACATATGTATGTATATATATTTATATATATATGTATATAACATGGGTTATAGTACCGCTTTAATTTTGTTTAACTACCAAAAACGTGTTTTACAACTAAATTATGTAAATTCGACTTATGTTTATCAAATAAAAAAAAAAAAGGATAAATATATATTCTAAGTTCTAAAACAATTAGACTAACTTATATTAAATACAAATCTATATAATGTTTTAATTGTAAAGAATTAATTTGGGGAAAAATAAACTGAATTTTGTACTACCTTAATAAATATATTTAATGGAGTTGCATATAATTAAATACAGACCATTTGATTAATTGCTTGTAAAGAGATAAAACAAAGACGGGTGTGATACTGATTGTTTCATGTTTTTTTAGCGCGTATCGACTGACCTGTATTTTTAAAGAAAATTCTTGAATATTATTAAATAACGTGATAATATTAAAAGTATTATAGAATTGTTTAAATTGATAGTAACTGAATAATATTAAGCCACAATTAAATAATATAAAATAAATATAATTATTTAAATAATTATTTTTAAACGTTTTATGTGTAGATTATCTGTTATGTAGTTACCAGTCTGTATAAAATAATTTTAAGTAATAAAAATAATAAAAATGTAAGTAAAAATGATTTGATCCAAAAAATTATAATGCAAAATAAATATTTTTCAGCTATACAAATTAAACAATACTAACATGATAATATCTTCAATACAATTTAAATATATACAAATGTATTTTGTTTTAAGTTCTATGGTTCATAGTTACTCTCTTTTAGTTAGAGTTGCTTGTAATATTTTTAGAGCTGTCTGCATGTCAGATAGAAAATGCAAATCCTTTGCGATAGATTAACATAATGATTAGAATAATATAAACTATAAGTAACGACTTTTTCTCATCAATGCGACAAAATTAATCACATAAACATATGGTGTTTAATAATAATTATATACTTGAATAATAATTGTTCAAGAAATATTATTTTTTTAATTTTTTTTTTTTAATCAACCCAAATCGTCAACAGCACAATGAATAACAAACAATTAATAGGCTTTGAGACATCAAATGATATACTATCTACCAAATTTCCATTAAATGATTAATGTAGTTATTGATTTAAAGTAATAATTATTAATAGGAATAAAAATTAAGAAGACTATTCTTTATGAATAACATGAACAATGTACATTAATTAAAGACGTTGCGTCTTAGTATAATAAACAATTAAATAACAAAACAAATAACACAATAAATAAATTTTTTATTGAAGTCTAAAAATAAACCTGAAAAATAAATTTTAGTACTGACTTATATAAATATCTACAAAAAACGTTATTAGATAGTTTTATAATTATATTTAAATTTAAATTTAAAACAAAAATATTTAATACATACATGTTTGTATCAAATACGAAACAAATCACTAATTGTACATAATATCTTAGTATAAGTGTTACACTATGATGATAAAATAATATGAATAAAAATATTTATACTCATATGATTAATAATATTTACTTTTAAATTTAAATTTATTATTTATCTGTAAAAATAATAAATTTATAATTTTTTTTTTTTGTTTTGTTTTCTGTAAAAAAAATCAATTGTATTTCTTAGTTTAAAATTGAATTACTTATTTTCACAATATTGCTCAATATTATGATATGAAATCAATTTATAAGTTCCTAAGATAAATTTTAAATTTCTGTGTATTTCCTAATAAATATCATAGATGTATAGATTTATAATTGACAGTAAAAAAATAATAGTAAAACGTATTTCTGGTACCTTTGCATAATTTTGAGTTTATAGATAGCTGTGAAAATTCAAAAACTTTTATTGCATAATATACCGACAAGAATAACTAAAACGTCATATTTTATAATCAAAAAACAAATAAATTTAAAAAATTTATTATTATTTAATTGTAATAATTGTTATTATCTTGTGTTTCTTATAAATAAAAACCAAAAAAAATTGTAAATTAATCACACAGAATTAAGTATTAAATATATTAGGATTTTTTAAGATACTTTTTTAATATTGTTTCTTACGTTATAATTTTACTTACCATTTGGATATTAAAAGATATGAAGTTTAATTTAGAATTTTTCTAATATCTTAATCATTAAAAGCTAAATTGGTATGTTTAAATATTATGCGTATTAAATTGGTTTTTTCATTTATTTACTTCTATGGTCATGTAAAAAAATAATGAACTTGAAGCATTTCTTTACACTAATACAGGATACTTTTACAGGCCGCGTGTTCGAGCAACGAAGTTATGCTGTACAGTACTAATCGTAGAGAAGCTCTGAGACGGTTGATTGCATCGTCAAAGGATGGGCCGGGTATCCAAACGAGTATCCTAAAAGCTCGATGGTGTGTTGGATATCCTGGCATCATATTCGGATTAGATTCATTATCTAGGTGAATCCTTCTAGCCATATTATAGTTAATATATTTTCCTTCTTTTATCTGTGTTTTCACTAATCATGATATACCCGTTAATAGCGTACATATGTGGGACCTTTGTGACAATATCACCACACTCAAAATATCCGTACCGTTCCGAAGAAAGACTGTTACTGCCATTTCATTGACGTCAACATCAACAAATCAAAACACTTACTTGGTCAGTCTTAATGATTTTACACAGTAATATAATACAATATTACGATTATAATATCGCTACACATTTATAATATACATCGTATTGAGGTCTAAGACAAGATGAATCAATCACCGTTCATAAATCAAACAAAAATCATAAAATTGTTTGTGTTTATAACTAAGAATTAAAAATATTACACTATGTTTTCCTTCAAGTAGCTATAGTGAAAACTCGAAGCACCATTATAGGAAAAATTTTAAGTGCGATTGAATTTTAAATTTTTACGAAATAGCGTAACGATAACGATTTATCCTCAAACGATTTTAAATATTTGTTAATATTCAAAAAGTATAAGTCGTAGATACTTGAAATTTTACCAGTTATTTAGAATGGTATTTTCTTTACATGATTTAATTTTCAAAATATTTTGACTTTTTTTGAGCTATTTGTAGACAACTGAAATTTTCAATTTTTCTGAACATTTTTTTTTTTTTTGTAGTGTTTATAAATTGTTTTTGGCCAAATCAAAATACTTGAAAATTTAATACAAAGTTTCTTATAAGTTATTCTTATAGTGATCAAAAAATTTTAAGAATACATAGGCACAATTTTTTTTTATTAGCATTTGAAGTTCAAATATTGACACAAATTCGTCAAAACCATGAATATTTGCAAATTATTTTGTAGGTATAATTCATAAAAATTAATAATTAATTGATTAACCATGACTTTTGCAAATTCGTCCTAATTGAAAAATAAAATATTTGTTTCAAAATAGAATGTATGACAATATTTAAATATAATATATCCTAGACGAACAAATCATCTCCGTTCAGAATCGTTTTTCATATACAATGATACCTATTATTGCATTCAAATTTAACCTACCCTAGTCTGAGGTTCACCCCACCACGTAATGTACAGCAGAGCGATACCTACTTTCTCGTTTTTTTTTTATTTATTTCACATATTTGTGAATAAAAAAATCATAAAAAAAAATACTAAAAAGTTTTTCTTAGGCTGGTCATTAAACATTCTAAAACATCTAAAATAAATTTGACACATTTAATTTATAAATTTGAAATTATAGTTTTAAATATTTAAATATATAAATCATGATAATAGTTATTATTTCGTAGTTTAAAAAAATATTTTATTACTAAGATCTTGTAAATTTTCATTATTACGTTTATTGTGTTTAAATCCTATGCAATGTTAAAAACATTAGTACTTGTGTAAAGTTTTATTAATCAAATTATGAAGCTTTTTTAATTTGTATTCATACAATCACATTATTGTATAGTACATTATAAATATTGATTGATAAATATATCTTACAATAATATTTGATAATTATTTTGTATAATTTAATAAAATAAATAAATTCAATTTTACCAAAAAAAAAAGTTAAATATACTTCTAATAAAAAATGTAATTTATAATATTAACATTAAAAAAAATTATAAAATAGTTTTACGAAAAAAGACTGATACACATCTCTGCAAAAATCGTTTTTGAATGGAATGTGATTTATCATTGCATTCAAATAATGTGGCATACCCATTAAAATTTCTTATTCAACATAATGTGGTTAAGTCAATTGACTTCTCCAATTTGTTTTGATTTTATACTGTATTTTTAATTTTCAAACCTAACTCCTGAATTTAAACGCAATTTTTTTTCTTTATCTTAAAATTATTATAAATAAAAATGAACAGAACACAAAAAATTCAAGGATGTTTACATAATTTATTTTTTATATTTATTGTTTACTTATTATTACTAAAAATGTATTGTTCGTCGAAAAAAGTCACTCATACACTATATCCAAAATTGTTGATGTTTTTTAATACCAATTTTATTTTTATTTTGTTTTAAAAATATTACTCATTTGGTGTAAGAACTCAGAATTCACCAATAATACAATTAAACCACTTATTTAAATCATAGTTATACGTTGGTAAATAAAAACAATTTATGAAGATTAATCTAAAAAGTTATTAACATTCCAAGTTGTTACTTTAGTTAGTCTAATTTATTGAAAGATTTTCGAAAATACCTTCTTTAAGTCAATAAATAGCCACAACAATCAATGTTATTAAGAATTTTTCGTTTAACTAATACGATAATACAATAAAACTCTATTAAAATTATATTTACATAGATACTTTAACCCAAAATGCATACCAAATATTTCAACAATAAAACAACATTCGACACAAATTATAATTTTTCTCTCTTTTTTTTTTTTTAATGTTAAAATATAATTATTACAATTTAAATAAAGTGTGTATATTTATATTAAGACATGTACAGCTGTTGTGATTTATTTGCTCGACACATTAAATGTCGAAATTTCAAAATGTTTACCAAAAAAATAAAAATAATAAACGTTAGGTACTGTTTAATGTATTTACATTTCATTAGCTCAGAAATATTAAATGTACGATAATTATTACTTAATTCTCTAAAGGTAATATTTTTAAATGTTGACTGCTGTTGTTTTTAGGGATTGGCGTTTGTGGACGGCACAGTAGAATTGCACCAGCTGAAGTTGGACAAAAGAAACGAGACAGAAGATCGTTGCGACCAGCTCAATAGTTTTTTGGCCGGTCTATAGAAGTAGAACTTCTAACTTAACAAAAATAATGTGCCAATAACAGTGTTTTTAATGTAATAATATGTAATATATTTTTCTAGCTCTGATAACGTGTAATATAATAAAAAATAATATCGAGTACTTGTGCGGTACACAGTATTCTACGGAACAAAAATACCATCTTACATACATGTATGTACAACTACGTAATAATATTTAAATTTGTATTTTCCATGTGCATAGCTATAAACTTTTATGTAATTATATATACTATTGGTGTATTAAAGGTAAAAAAAAAAAATAAATATAATAATATAGTATTATCATAACAAATAATAAATCAAACACAATAGATTATATCATGTTAACCATTTACCGTAATAATTCCCATCCATTTTTAATAGCTTCATAATATATAATACGGTTCTAGTTGTCGATCAGTCTACTTAAAAGTTTTCGGAGGAAAAAAAAAATACTGAATCTCATTTCCCATTTTCTGCTATATCTTTCGCAATCTATTCAGTTATTGTTGCTCCCCGTTCAAGTTCTTGTAGTTTTCGTCAACCAACTTGCTCCACTGGTGCATATTATTCAATGCCCCTTCCTTCATTACGTTTAGTTTTGGATTCATTTGACCCAATGCCTGTAAAAAAAAAAAATCTAATTGTAAGACATGTTTTGTTTTTGCATCTAAAAAATGCATTAACCTGGTATAATGGCAGACATATGTCTGCGATCCATCTGATCTGCAACTGTGGAAGTTCGTGTTGCCTTTCTCTGTCCATCAGAGCTTGGGGCTGGATTTTCAACTCAAATCTTTCTTTATCGCCTTGCTCAATGAATTCATCTGTTACTAGTCTGGCGGCTCGCTTTTGCACGTGCCATTGCTTTGTAGACGCAGCTAAGTCCGACGACGTCATCAACATCGCCATCAACAAGTATCGCTGCGATTCTTCGTCCCAACTGTATTCTTTAGACTCGATTAATCGGAAGAACTTATTTCTCAGTCTGAAAAAAAATAAAAACAAATCTAATGTATGACGTAATATCGAAAAAGAATTATTTAAACATTAAAATATGAAACCAGTAAAGCATTGAGCCATTATTTCAATGAATTATGAGTTATGAAATCTTTAAAAAAAAACATTATACACGGTTTTGTAATAAAGACAATAATATACCATTAAATGTGTTTACATACAAGAATATTAAAACTTGAATATTACTTTTTCAAATAAACTATATTAAAAATATAAAACTCCATTTTATGAACATTTCAATTTTTTTTGGTTTCTGTATAATATTATTGATATTATTATTATTATTATTATTATAGTTTTTGTAGCGTTCGATGTATCAAAAACCTTTACATTCAAATATAATATGTGAGACAAAAACTAAAAAAGACGACGATATATTTTATCAATAATTAAATAATTTTAACAACATTAAAATATTAAATTATTAATAGAAATGTCTAAGTTTATATATAACCTTGTGGTAAATATTTGGTTCAATTATAAAATTATATTTAATGTGGATACTTCTTAATGCTATGTGTTTTTTTTTTTTATATATATAATAATTTTAATTTCTCAGGTTAGTGCTTAAAACTATCATGTTTACTCACTGGAAATACACAGACAAATCAGTGGCCAGTATACTATGTTTCAACACTTTCATCACAGTTGAAAAACTTTCCGCGGATAGACTTGAGAATATATTTAGATTCTAAAAAATAGATAAATATATAAAAAAATATTGCGTTAGAACATTTTACTTGACATATTATTTCAACTTACTTCGCTGCTGAGTATCATCACTGCGTGATTAAAATGATGGTGTTCCATTGTATTGGTAGTGCCATACAATAAAACCAATGCCGATCTGGCTCTAAAACACAATTACAATGAATTAAGAATAAATATTATTAATATTTTAATATTTTATCTTTTATAGTACAATTTTTAAGTTGTTTATTTTTTCATAAATTTTGTTGTTTTGTTGTTACATAAATATTCTAAATTTTTATATTTATATCTTTATTCTTAATAATTTCATATCTTTTTATTTATTTATTTATTTATTTATTTTTTTTTTTGTAGACCATATACACCTATAATTCTTACGTTTAAATCTATAAAAAGTCTCAGCCTGTATATATTCTTAAATAAAATAAAATAAATAAACTAACATTTGTAATAAACAGTAATTTAAATTTAAATTTCATAAGAAAATAAGAATAACACTTATTATTTAAAGTTTACAAATAAAGACCACGTTAAGAAAGCATTATACGAATTCACATTTTTGACTTTTAATAATTTGAAATATTTATGAAATATTTTAATTTTGACAAAAATAGTCTTTACTCAGATTGATCTCAAAAACACATATCGTTGTAAAATCAATAAACTTTAATTTAACTGCCCAGAATTTAACGTTTGAATAGTTTTAAAATTGTATGGTTATTATTATTATTGAAATTAACCACTATGGTATAACATACTTCTCTTGAAATGAATTATTTGTGCCCCTGTGATCGAGATCATGACACAAACATCCGACAAACATTCCCAACACTTCGAGATCGGAAAATGTATTCTTCATGTCACATCCCTTAAAACATATCAATATTTGCTATTTATTCTGATTAAATAATCGATTTATTTTTTGTAATTTATTCACCATCATAATAGCAAACATGACTTGAGCCACATTGAAAGCATGTCTCCAGTTGTGATAAGGCACGTCCCTGTAGTTTCGTTTTACCGTGATAAGGAACCGATATAATGTCTAAAATATAAATTACATATTGACATTATCAAACAAATCCAATTGATTTATTATTATTATTATTATTATTATTATGCCTGGTTATAATCAACGCTATCATTTTTAAACTACCATTCTGATATTAAGTCTTCTAAAATGGTTCTTAGATTAGGTACAACTATTTTTTTTACTATACAATAATATAATACATTTTAATTAATACTATTAAATTAAAACTTATTGTTTGATATTAACATAAAATAATGTTTTACATAATTAAAATAAACACTCCATTATAGTACACATAATAATGAAATAAAATAGTTTTGAACTAGCATAAATCAAGAATCGTGTATTTGATGTTACATACAATTTGTTTATACCTATAGGCTATAATTTAAACTGTTTGGCATTTCGAATACTCCGTATAATAGTATCTTATTATCAACGTTTAAACCAATTAGAAACAAATAAAAACTTAGTTTTTAATGTAACAGATATTTTTCTTCCACCATAGATTAATATTGTAATACCATTGAATTACATAGCATATAATAAATTCCATTCATAAATATAATATAAATAATTAGAAACTTGTATAGATACATATGAGTTTTGAACGTGTATTTAATTTAAAATATTGTAATATTGTTCAGTTTAACTTTTAAATTAGTTTTGTTACTTTGTGAAATAAAGTGTACCTGAAGTTGGACCATTATATATAATAATACATTTTTATATAATATAATAAAATAAAATATAAATTTTCTATAAAACATATTATATTCTTTAAATTGTCATTCCATTCTAGGTCTGTTATCTTAGAGTACTTTCTAAGACACATTTTGACAATTCTCATTATTCACAGCATAAGACCTCTATCATTTCCGCTTCACTTAAATATCTTGCCATTCAGTTCTATTGCCATGGGCCGTTATTTGTACATGCAAATATTTCAAAACCCACAAAATACTTAATAGGATATTAATTCTTATAACGAAAAATGTAAAAATTCGTTGTCGTCTGCTTTGAAGCCATTTGAAAAATATACATTTTTTGTACTTTTGATATATGGTTATGTTATTATTTTGAGATTTTAAAATATGACATAGTTTAAAAATTAAATGTAAGTACAATCGATTCACCACCGAAATAGTTTATTGTTAAATAAATTAATATTAAATTAGGATAGATATTTGTCATTTAAAATAGTTTATTTTATTAGTAATTTAAACAATTAAGTGTTAGTTATATCACTGATATACGTTTAGCTAATATGATTTATAATATCGTAAATGATTTGGAAACATTTCAATGGAAAACTTTTCTTCTAATTGAATTGTATTGAATCGTTTATACTTTACGACATACATATGCATAAAATATTTTGTAAACGACATAACAACCAGACTAATTGAACATAAATATAAAAATTCCAAAATTTTCATTATTACGATGGAAATTGGTCTATATCAAGAGTCAAATATTTTTGTTTACTTTAAACAATCAATTAAGTACATAATATACGTGGTTTTTCAAACACATATATTTTACAAATTATACACTCACTTCTTTTTCAATGTTAAACGTTTTAACAAGTCCAAGTTCCAAAAACATGCTTACTGCCGCCATCAGCATTTCGTCATCGTTAAGTGAAAAATCGTCGAACGTTAAAGAATATAAATTCAACGAATCAGCAGCAGGTACCGGCATACCCTAAGAAAAAATACATTTATTTTCTATGTGGTAGAAGTTTTTCGTTAGAATTTATATTTGATTTTGACAACGTAGTTTATTTTCATTTTAAGGTTATTAATGTTTTTACTTAAAGACACGCTAATTTACACTTAGATTTACGTAAAAAAATGTAAAAATATATTTTTCCGTATAACGAGTTGTCAGCGTCAGTAGGTATACACCACTTGAAACGAGAAAAAGCTAAAATAATAACAAAATACGTTTTTCAATCCGTTTAAATATGTGGGGGCATTAAACTGCAGAAAAACGGTCTAGAGTTCAATGACTGGCCAGTAAAAGTTTTTTCATTATTTTCACAGTGAATGTACAAAATTTATATCCGGGAATAATATTGTCTATTTGAAATCGAAGCCAAAAAAGTTTTAAAAGCATAAGAATATTAAAAAATAAATTTACAAGATTATTGAGCGCTTACCAGAATACGTTCCACCTCTTTATTTGAAGCTGTCGCATGATAAGATAGAACCTGAAATAAATAAAGAAAAAAGAAAAAAACGAACATTTGTATAACTTTCTGATAACACATAATGTATTCGTTTTCGTACGCCCGTACGGTGATCTTACTTCAATGGAGACTTTTTGCCGAGCCATCGCCTTTTCCACTTCACTATACATAAGTGTGTTGTGTATTCCCAGTCCACAGAATATTGTAAATGCCTATAACAAGTGAAATATGATTTCATAATCAGTTATAAGTATAAATAATTCACTGCATCTGTGGCATTAAGTATTTTTCTTATGGATAATAAAATAATATCTCACCTCGAACAACTGTTCGTCGTAATCGTCAAATGGTGACGAGTTCAATTTGTTGATTATACTGGCGACGCCTGTAAAGTATTATTCGCGTTAGTTAGACGAAATATGATCCCGTAACTTAATAATGCGTATAACAACTAATACAACGATAATGTTGTAATTTCAAGTGGCTCAGTCCGACCGAAGTCACTCTACGACTGGGTATTTGCGTTTTATCCCTAGATATCTCGTGGATTTACGTCTGATCACCCGGTAAATCGATCGTAATTTAGTATCACGTCATATACTCTCGGAACTTGAATGTAACATGATAGTAGTTACGACCAGACGTTGATAATGCGATAATAATGCACTAGCAGACGATATCCGATCGTCGAACCCGCTCTGGTTCCTAACGGACAGCGACCGCGAGCAATCAGACTAAGACCGGACGTGATATCGTTACACGTTCGACTATTGTATAATAATAACATAAAAGTTATTGAATACTATGCGCGTGACTACCTAGTACCTAAACGTAACTTTTATGGTTGTAAATGACATGGATAAGTGATAAACAACGCGAAGGATTCTCACAGGATATTGTTCTATTGCAGGACCTCTGGTAGCTATGGTCTATGTGACTATATATTATACATCCCTCGAGTACCGTAATGTCTCTAGTGGTGATACACAGCCAGTATTAAATCATTTGTTATTAATTTCGTTTCTTCCTCTATATGAAAAAAAAAAAAATAATGAAACTTAAAAACATAACTAAAATTCCTGTTAGACAAAAAGACGCGAGTTCGGCAATTATAATTTACAGATCAGATTGTATTGACCCAAATTGAATACTTTATAAAGAGTACGACTAAAACTTAGGTTTTCCTGATTAATTGATTTGCGTCACACATTAAATTGTTAAAACTGTGAAAGAATATTTAATTAAGTATTTCAATTTATTTTGGTTGAAAAATAAATGTCCATTAAACAAAATAGATAGTTCAAAAAATTGCTGTATATTTTTGCTACATTATCGTTTTTATATGATATAGTTATTATTTATCAACAGAAATAATAACGAAATTCGTACACTAAATCTAGTAAGTAATAAGTATGCAAAAAAAACTGTTTGAGAACCACCGTTCCATAGCACTAGCTGTATTTTTTAAAGCGCAATATACGACTTTTATAGTGATATGTAATGTAGTTATTTGTGTATATTATTTAGTTTATATTACATTTCACCGTACCAATTGTTTGACAAAACGGTTCTTAATGATTGGGTACATTATGATAAAATATAAAAGTATGTAATGATGTGAACTGTGCTTACCGATTATTTGGTCGTTTTTATTCCTGATGGGCATTGCCAATAGTGAGTTAATGCCTGAGTCTACGATTCCCTCGCTGCACTCGTGCTCGTTGATGTTCAAAACTTCCCCCGAACAAGCCACCCTCTCAGCAAGACTCTCTAGGTAACGTGATACGTTTTCGCCTTCCACCTTTTGCCTAGAACTAATTTATAAGAAATAATATTGATTAAATAACCGTTTATGATGATGTATATTTAATGTATTTATTTATATATTTTTATATTATCTACAGGTTATAAAAAGTGTATAAGAAAAATATGAGCCATATTAAAATTGAATTTTATTTAAAAATAGTAAGTTTATCAAGATAAATGTTAAATTTATATATTTTTTTATTGTAATTAAAATTTTTAAATTGAAAGAACTTAAAATACTATTACCAAATATTCATATTATCATTTAATATACATGATAAAAATTTAAAAAAATGTTTATTTTTTAAATCACATTTAAAATTATCTACTTTTCTAAGTTTTTTTTCAAATTATATATTTTATAAAATGTTTTTCATGACAGTTGTAAGTGTTCATACTTAAATTTAAAAAAATATTAAAAATACGAGTATTAAAGCAACATTTTTTTATAAGTGTTTGGAAATTAGATCAACATTCTGTATTTTTAATATACAATTTAATTATCCATTTCATAAACATATGAAATAAAATATCCTTAAAAATATAAGTTAACTAGACTCCGTTCAAAATCTTTTTTCGTATTTTACATGATTTATCATTGAATTTAAATTTTATACATTTATTACAGTGATATATTTTAAACAAATAAAATGTAATACAGGAAAGCGATTTTATCGGTTTTTTTCATAGTTAATGAAATAGTAATAATACTTGTAAAATAAAAAAATAATATTCTATGCAACATAATTTTTAAGCATTTAAAATAAATATTGCTCTTATTTTTTTAAATAATTAAAAACACGTTTTATTTTAAAATTGAGCAAAATATCATACAATAATTAGAACGAATTCAATTTTTGATTTTTATAAGGATTTTAATATTTAGTTCTGTTAAATATATGCATAATTTTATGAAATTATGGTAATAAAAAGTTTTCAAAAATTAAATTAATATTAAATTAGTTTAATATTTTAACTAATAGATAACATTATTTTTATAAATATCACCATAAAAAATACACATTACAATCGAATTTGATTTAATATTCTTTCTAATATAAGTAACTTTATAGTATAATTTTTTTCATTCTCATTAATACCAAAAACCTAACTTGTTTTAACTTGATAAATTCATATCCAATTTAAATATATAATATTTTTTTCAAAACTATTTCGAAAACTGTAAAAATTTAAATACAAAAAAAAAATATTTTTTTTATTTTTTTTTTTATTGCTACTGTACAAGAATTATCTTATAGATTGAGAAACCTATATTTAAATATAAATTTAGCAACACAGAACTATTGATCAGTAATAGTGGTACTGGACTTAAAGGGTATAATAAACTCTATTTTAAGTATTATATTATATATTTATACGTGTATATTGATTTGATGTTATGTAATCATACTTTTTAACGTTATTTTTTATATTGTGCTTGGGCGAGTTTAAGTCAAACAGCTTTGAGAAGCTGGTACTGTCACACGATTCGTCTACAAGCAACACGGCCGCTCTTTCGCACTTCAACAGCCTCTGAGCCCTCTGCATTATCTTCATTATAACTTTGTCGATAGATGTCTGTTCTTCAAAGAGATCATGTACTACTTCCAACAAATTCTGCAACGATATTCGTCAGAAATTTTTTAAACACTTCGATAAAATCAACTTCTTTCTTAACTAAACAATCACTTACCCTGTTTCTATCATATTCGGCTCGGGAATCCTCGACGATTTGTGCGTTTGTAATCGCTATTCCGACAAACTGTAAGTACGTCTCAAAAAGCTGTAATCCCAGAAATTGTGATTAAATTATACTATTTTCGTATTGTACACAACAGTAATATATAGATTAGACCTTTTAATTTGGTATAATAAATGTTTAAAGTTAGAAAATTGGATTATTTTAAACCTAGATTACAAATCGTATTTTCTTAAACATCATGTCTTCATTTGTGGTTTTCGATGATATAATTTAGTACGCATTAGTTAAACAAATAACTACACAAACTAATTTTTAAAATCTCTAAAATGAATCAAAATTTATTCAATTTCAAAATAATAATCATATTATGGCTAAGTTTTTTATTGAAAATATTTATGGTTTATCCGATGAAATCTGAATTTTTTAGAATCTTCTCTTGAACTAATCTAATAATATTTAAATTTTATCTTGTGTTCATAATCAATAGTTAACAAAGTTAATTAATTATTAGAACATAAAAACTAATTAAAAATATATCGAAAACTTTCTTCTATAAAAAATATTATTTTATTAAATATCAAATCCTTAACATAAAAACACATAGGTAGAATATTTTTTAATCGCTTACAGCCAAACGTCAAAAATATCTTACAAGAGCATGGATTTTTGAAACATTGTTAGTATTAATATGACATTACCATATACATTTAAATCGTGTTTGAATTATTTATAGTCACTAACATTATTATAATACAGGAATGTTTAAGATTATGATAAAAAATTAATTTCTTAAAATATACTTATATCTCAAGTGTGATAAACTTATAAAATATAATTAGCTCAATATACGTAACTGACGATATTTAAATACCTATGTACTAATATTAAAAAAACACGTCTTGTGATTAAATCATGTCGATTTAAAAAAAAAAAAAAAAAAACTATCTACTTAACAAAAAATAATAATTTAATAACATGACAATCGCGTAATACAAAGTCATATATTTTGTATCACTGGCCAATACATTGTCGTAGGTCAAGTCCTTATCAATTTAATATATCAACAACGAAAACCACGTCAGTAAAATGTTAAAACGTTTTCTGCTCAAAAGCCAGCAGTGGCGGCGCAATTAATTCGACAATTAGATACATATACATGCACATACACGTGTAATAAGTTTAAGTCTATTATAAGTTCTAGATTTATATTAAATTAAAAACGACAGAACCAGAAAAATTGACTGGAAAAGTTTCTAATGACGTGTATGGTATATATAATATATATACGGCTGCTGCACCACTGCGTTTGTATTTACAACAAGGCATGTTTCTAAAAGTAACTTTGTGTCAGGACCACTCATAGAAATTTCCACACCAATTCAAAAATATTTACCTTCTCATCCATGCTGGTGAAATGCCCGTCATCCTTATCCGGATTCTTGTTGTTAACCTGCGCCACCGCAATTATCTCTTCATACGAATTTTTCACTGGCATGCACAGTAACGATGAAGTGTAATATCCCATTATGCGGTCTACTTCGTCATCAAATCTCGGATCCTATAATATGATATATTATTATGACCACATTGTTCTATGTTATTTTATAAATGCAGATATTATGAGTTTGGAAAAAAAAAAACTGAATTTGGCGAGTTTCCTGAAGTCATGTATTTTAGTTTTATAATTACAATATAGTGTCGCCTATCATAGTGAAAAATTATGCTATTGTAATTTCGCTTTAAAAACAACTTTGAAACCACATGGCATATTTGGTATACGTTACGTATATATGTATATACATTAATGAATAACTTATAAACACAAAGAAATAACAGAAATAAGATAGTTATCAGTAACGACAAAAATAAATGAACTGAAATTAAAATTAATCGCACGTACATATAACTATTTCTTTGAAACAAAAAAAAAAAAATTAATAAATTATTAATTTTATTTTCAGACAAACATCTTTAAAAGTCTCGTATTTGTTTTAAATGAATAAAATTTACATACTTTACGGATGGTTCCACTTCAAAGTGATCTTCTAATTTAAAGAAACGCGTTTACATAATATAATACTGATTCAGATATTACAATAAATACGTTAGACTATAAACAATTAATTTTCAATCGATTAACAAACCGATTACAAAATGGTATTGATTTATACAATTATGATTTAAATCATTAATTTTTTTATGATACCTTTTATGAAAAATTTTAAAAATATAAACTTTAATAATAATATTGAAATATAATTTATCATTCAGTGGAACAATGTGCTATTAGTATCATATTTGCTTATTGAAGCTATGAATAATCGTCAACTATGACAATAATACTATAATAGCTATTTAATAACTATATCTATTGTAATCAAAATAATATGACGTACTAATAAAATTTTCTAACTAATATTAATTAAACGGTATTATAATACGTATGGCTTTCCATGCTGCGCCAACGGTTGCGAAATATAATCGATAACAATAATAATATTCATTTTTCCCAATCCACGTAAATATTATTTTGAACTCCAGCTATTATAAAATTGAATTATATAGAAACTGATTAAAAAAAAAAAAAATTACAATATATGTATGTATTTTTTTTAAAATTAGTATTGTTCATTTAACAGTTCTAGTGCTATAACGATAATTTTTGAAGGAAACTTCGCTCGGAAACTTATAGAAAATAAAGTCATCATAGGACCACAATGGTTGGACAACTGGGACGTACCGACATACCTTTTTGTATCTACGGAAATATTTGTATTCCCCAACCGGGAGAATAGGTTCGTGTATATTCGTTACGCGGGATGCTTTTCACCGGTCTCGTTTTGACTGTATACATATATACATTTGTATTATGCACTCGCACAGATGACACAATAATCGGAGGTGGGTTCGATTGAGATGGGAGATTTTTGAAGATGATCCACTACGTATATATACAACTGGAATTTCATTAGCCCACGTCGACCATGTTAGGTCGTATATATAATATTATATATATATATATGCATACATGTGTAATATATATATATAACTGTAGCTGTAGGGGGTGGCGTGTATGACCCAGTTTTATTTTTCAAACGCGCACAGACAAAATACGAAACGTATCAATAAACGTCGATTGTACGGCCTCCAGCAGTATATTATATAACTGTGTAGTAAATTTCTACAAATGTCTGAAAGAGATACTGTAAAAAATAAAAAATAAATGAAAAAAATAATAAATAATAACGCCGATAATAACAATATACGAATGATAACGCACGTAAAAAGGCCAAAAATCTTTTTGAACTCTCGGGATATTGTATTAATATATACCACCAATATAATAATATACGCTGTGCACCCCGCCGATTTTTATTACGTGATATTATATAAATAATATCTGGACCCTTTATGATACGTTGGGCACAAGTCCGAAACGCTATATATATATATATATGCGTTATATACGGAAAATCTCTGTGTTTATCCTCGTACATAGCATCAACCCGCTTCCTTTCCGAACTTTAAAACGAACATATAAACTATTTGAATACCAAATGGATATAAAGTAATGTTCAACTTTCAAAACATTTGCATGAATTAAATTAAAAATGAAAAATAAAATAGATAATGTGTACATACATATAAATCGAGTACAAACATGGTGACGAAACACTAGATGCAGTTTTTCAGACAAAATTTGAACGCAGATGCACCGTAAAAGAAAAATATACATAAAGTATAGACAAAACCGTTGTTGACCCTGGACACAGTTGTTCACTTAGTTGTTACGCAGTGTTAAGTACGACACGTATTCTCTTAGGGGTCGTGTGTGTACCAAGTTATTTTTACAATAAAAACGTAAAAGTGTTATTGTAAAAAAAACCTTTTCGTCGTTGTTGACGAACACTACCGATAAATCAACTTCATTGTTACACTACACATAAAGTTGAATTTCATTAAAAAAAAACAATCGTTCGTGTTGATGATAATTTTTACTTGACCATGATGTTCATAGTTTTTTAACGGTCATAATATTTAAAAAATATTTAATCACAATTCACATTGTGTTAAACATAACTTATTTTTGAGATAATATTTTTTAAATAGGTATAAAAACGACTGAAAGCAAATTGAACTTTCAAATACAAACTAAACCAAACCTATATATATTTTCTTTCAAAAAAAGTGCTCGATAAAACAAAACAATATGTGATAAAAAAAAAATGTAAGGAAAGTTAAATATGCCCAAAATATAACATATTCAAAGTTAGGAATAACATCATATGTATTTATTTAACTTTAAATTATAATAGAACCTTGAAATTTTTGATTTAATGCATATAAACAAAAATATAATAACAATTTTTAACATTAAATTGTTTACAGATTTTTTTAATGTTACCTAAAAATTGAGTGAATCAGAAAAAAGCTTAAAATGTGACTCGTTGACCTTTTATGACAAAGTTCAATGCTTGTGTGTAAGTCAACTAAGTCATATTAAATATAATGTCTACATTTTTTTTAAATCACAACATATTAAGGTTAAAATTATATTTATAGGTACTCAATAATACAGTCTCAATATATGAGCATGTATTACAGTTATTTAATAGAATATTTTTGTGCAGTTGCTTGTTAACTATGCACGATGTAGGTATATTCAACACATATTTTTTTAAATATTTATAAAACTCAGTGATTATATAAAACATAAAATCTATCAACATTCATTTCATACATATCTCAAAAGAATATTTCATTATTTTACTTACATGAATCTATTTCTTTCAAAACCTGTACAAGTCACAGTACCTAGTTTTTGAAAGTACGGTTTGCACGGAATACAAATTTTAATTTTGCATTTTAAAATGTAAATATTTGATGTCAGTTATTCTAAATTACGTAACATTTATTTTAATTCCATTTTACCTATAAAATAGAGTCAAATAGAGAGGTCGGTAATAATTTTATGTCCAATTGCTCTAAGTATAATAGTTTAAAAACATATGCTGGTGTGAGTATGTGACATTTTTGAAAACAATTTAAAATTATAGTTAATCACCAATGTTTTATTTTATACGGTAAGAATAAAAAAAAAAAAATATTTAAGGTAATTAATATGCGTAACCACAACTTAATTTAATAACTATTGACTAGTTACATGCATTAAAAATCATTATATTTTAATTGAAACATACATTTTTAAAATTAACTTTTAGATTTTGATTTTTAAAACAGTATAAATTACAATAATTTATTTTATGTTGGATTTGTAAAAATACATAACGTCAAAACGTAAGATTAAACCAATAACAGTGTTATTGTTTATATTTTTATAATATAATACGTATTGAAATAAGTAACGACCACCCCCCCCCCCCTTCATCTGCCTAATATATTTTAATTATTTAATTATAAATAAACCATGTGCAATTGTTTTACTAAAGAATATAATTCCTGATGCGAAAAATATTTTTGATAATATAATATATTAATACCTACTAAATTATGCATTTAAGACTTGATCATTTTTTTTCTTCATTATTATTGTTGTTTTAAAATTCTATCGTTTTAATCAAATCTCATTCAATACATTTTCCGATAATGACTCGTTCACGCAAATTAAGTGGCAAAAAATAAGGTAAATCGTATTTTGCCCTTTTAGGTGGCTGCCGTTTTGATGGTATTTTAGGGACTCACCTCGCAAGCAACGTCCAGGTTGACCGTCTCGCCGGTGGACGCGACGTGTCCGAGTATTCCCACGCCCCACGGAATGCGCACCTCATTGTCGGTGGCCGTGGCCGGACCACCAGCAACGTCGCACTGCACGCCGTCCGGCAACAGGAACTGGCCGCGGGCGCCGCTGTGTACGTCGAACACCTTGGAGACGAGACACCGGCGCCGGGAACCTCGCGGCGGTCCATCCACGAGAAACAACGAGCCGGCGTCGCAGTCCAGCAACACGGTCAAGTCGTCGACGATCTTCTGCGACAACGACTTGAGGTCCAGGTCGGTGGCAATGTCCCGGACTACTGTCAGGAAGAAGTCCCGTTCGCCCTGCGCGAGCCGCAGATCCCGCTTGGTGTCCACGTTGTGCGCGGACACCGGCCACCTGGGCAACCGCACCTTGGAATCGATGAGCAGTGACAGCATGCTAATCGGGCTTGGTGGCAACGACGTAAATCTAGAAGTGCAAAGAAAAAAATGCATTTCGGCGTTCAAAAACTTGATTGAAATTCGTCGAACGATAGGTCATATTATTTTTCGCTAAGTGTGCCGCGATCGCGCACGCTTGGGTATTGAAGCCTTTAGACCATATAAGATAGCGCGATGAGTGAAGGTGAGCGCTAGAAGAGGGGGAGGAGGGTTGTACCTCAGTTCGCGAAAACAACAAAATCATGCGGGATAATGAAAACGCTTTAAAATGTCGATTCTTATAAATATATTACGTACGACGGGGAAGTCTGATAGTAAACCTTAACCAACTTAAACAAGACGATTTTCGTCCTAAGTCACAGGCCGTGACGATTAGACGACCAGAAGTAAAAAATAACACTCGTCAAACATGACTTGTATTTCTTTTATGACTGAATTCATAAACACACGATAGATACATAAATAAAAGACACTTAAAGCAATTTCATTTCCGTTTGATTGTTTAATACCACAATTAATATAACTATACAAGTACAATGCCATTTATTACCCAAAACATATTATATACTTGTCATTATCTACTTGTTACATCGTATACAAAACTGTCGTGATACGTCAACAACTGTGACGCGATACTTTTTTATTCGCACTTATAGTTTATACGACTCTGTCATTGAAAATTATTTTAGCATGTTTTTAACTTCATTTTGATTCATTTGGCGTGGTACAGCTGTTTAAATAGTTACCAATTTATTTGTCGTTAAGTGTTGATTACTATAATATTCTGTGGGGTATTACACTGTTCGTCTCACGTTTACCGATAACTTTCCACCTACGTTTAAAGGTCAACAAACATTATATAATTTAAGTTTTAGAATCGTGTATGTTAACTATTTCAAACTATTGACACAAAATGTCTACTTAGTATAATATAAATAACGTTTAATCACTGTATTTGAAGAAAACTGCCATGATATAACTGTAACTTTAAGAAATAAATTTATCAATCTTTAGATTATATATTTATTCTTATAAATATCAACAATTTTACAATATATATCCAATACAATCGTCACGATATAACGTAGCAAGAACAATAATTAATAATAATAGTAATTATTATTTTAATATAATTATAATCTCATATTATAAACCAAAACGTGTTTATATAAAGTTCTTAAAATAGTTCTTTTTGAGATTAAATAGTTTGATACGCTTGTAATGATTAGAGATTAAGATATTTTAATAACGGTGAATTTTTTTTTTTTTTAATATATATATGTAAAAGGTAAATCAAAAATTGATTAATTTCTGTTAGTATAGTGTTATTATTTTTATATTATAAATCATAAAAGTAATTATAGCTCATATTTAAAATACGCATTATATATATTTTTGAACAGAACTTTAATCAACCAATTTTGAATTCAATATTTAAATTAAAAATTGTTTTGTATTAATAAAAAAGTAAAATATTATTTCTATAAACTTTTTTCCAGACATATTATAAAATTATGTTACAGTCTGAAACTTTTTAATGGGTTCTATGATTCGTGAATTTATAATTGATCAGCTATATATACAATAATAAAATTCATGAATATATATTGTTTGATTATAATATTTTAATATTTTTAATTTAGGACTTTTTTTTTGTTATACATCATCTATACGTTTTTTTCTTGAAGATCCATTTTATTCAATTTCATACTATATATTATTACTTGTACATTAAACGAAAAACAATTTTCAACAAATTTTTAATGCATTTTATTAGAATACTTTTGATATAATTCATATTGAAATTTAATAAACTATATCCTTTGATATTTACTTTGAATTTTTTATCACGATTGTACATGTCATGTGTTTTTGATTAAAATTTATTTCAGTAAATTTTCATTTCATTTTATTTTGAAACAAATATTACTAGCTTATTTTTACATATATTAATTTTGATAATGTCAGAAAAATACAATAATTAAAAGTATTTTATTTTTCCTAAAAACATATTTACATTATGAACCCTTCAACTGTATAGTTAATCTGATAATGGATAGTGCAGGTGCAACAGTAGTTATAACAGAAATCACTAGCTGTTATCCCAGATAATTTAGTAATTGGACTGTATATAATTTATTATGTAAAATTATTGAATTAACTAATATAATAGTATAAAAAAGGTATGGTATCTCAATATAGTACATAAAAAAAAAAAAATGATATATTATAATAATGAAGGCCTGGTATCTTAGTACGATAAAATCATATAATTACTTAACTTAATTAAATTTAAGGCTCTTTAGCCTTTAAAAATATTAACAACACAAAAACAAACGACGGTTAACTGACCAATCCTCACGCGCAACTATATCGAGTGGTGAATTTCATATCAACGTCACCGTGCTGGGGTTCGTAATCGGCATACAATAAATTATACGAATGAATCTAATATAACTTAATGCTTATATGATGTCGTCACGACGGTTACGCTCTGTAGCATTGACACCATTACCGTCACCAAACATCAGGAACACACGACTGTTCACAAACAAATCGCTGGTAAAGTTGACCTCCCTAAAACAGGAAACACAATATATATGCTAATAATAACCAGAAGGAATAACGCCAGACGATCCGCATAGTCCAAATCCACAGATGGTGTAGTTTTCGACAGACGGCGACGCGGCAAACCACAAACCAAACGCCCAACACAGTAAGGCGAAATGGGCAAAAAAATGAACCAAGAACTAATTCCATCGTTATTCGGTGCTCGTATTTTGCATTTATTTGACATAACAGTCGATCGAGACACGAAACACGCAAACTACGAAACGGGACAACGTTTCTTCCTATAGAAACACCGTTATAACGTAATTACAACCGAATATACTTGAAAATATTTTAAATTTGAAAGTAACGTATTGGGAAACGATCGGAATCTTCAAAATTGCGTAGATATACGAAAATCACACACATTATTACATTTGAGTACCAGACGTAATAAGGGTTGGCTGGTCAGCGCGTAATAGCGTTGAAAACGCATTCTTTTCGGTCGCACTGAAAGCATTACCACGTATCTGGTACTATACTTCATGTGTTACTCTTATTGTGTGATCAGATAAAGAATATAATAATAACAATAAAAAAGACAATTGAACGGTTTCAAAAAATATTTTTTTTTTTTTGGTTAGCCCGACAGGCTATATAATATTATATACTCACAATAAATAATTTTTCCAAGTACTAATAACTTGCTTTGCAATATAAAAATAAATTGATAATTTTATAACTATAGTGATGATTTCTGTTGAAGCTAAAACGATATAAATCAAACGTTTTAGTTTTCTGACGTGATTGCAATGAGCATACTCATGATTTTGTGTAACATAGGTAAAATTTTTACCAAAATAGAAATTAATTTATTTGTAGACTTCTTAACTAGTTAGCTAGCTGCAAGAGAATAAAAATGTTCATACTTATGTATGCATATCATCCTCTTTTATATTACTGTTCTACGTTTAACAAAACAATCGAAACAAAGCCTCTCTAATAAAAGTACACTTCTATAAACACGTATACGAAAAACGTTCTCAAATTAATTCACTTTTCCTTTCCATCACTCTGTCTATCTTGAAATATACATTTAAATACGATTTACATTATGCCGTAACAGTATTGCATCTTGTCGCGTTATTTTTGTTTATTCTCGTTGGTCATGCAATTACAATGACATGCTATATAACTAGTTTCTCACGTTTTAGGACATGAATTCGCGATAATGACGTGACACTCAAAAGTGTAAATATTGTAGTAAAACTAATACCATAAAAACGGAAAAATCATCGAAAATACATCTATCTAGAAGTACTGATACATATACATCTATGTCACATAAAAACCATTTAAGTTCGTCCGACATGTATGCAATCTTCTTAGAGCTTTTCATGTGAAATGAGTGAACTTGACGATGAAAAATGTTATACGCCTATTGTACATTTAAGTCGTCGTCAAGATTCACCAGTTATCCACAGTCTTAACAACGCACGACATTGGCTTTTTCGTAAGACTGATTAATGAATCCATTTTCACTGCTGTGACTCAAAACCCATAGCACAAAACGATGTAAAGCCTTTTTTTTTAAATTTATTATAGCTTTGAGTTATGTACAGCTTAACAGTTAAAAATTATTTATGGTAGGTATGAAATAAAGTAGAAGTACAATAGTAGTTATAAAAATTAAATACAAGTGAAAACTTAAAGTTAATTCTAACTTTTGTATAAATCTAAATCATGTATTTTTTATTGAGTAATAAATTCATAACAATTGTTATTGATAAATTTGAAACGTTTTGGGATTGTAACAAACAAATTTTAGCACGAAATATTTGTAATGGACGGTGGATTTAAGATTGTACAAGGCATTTGATATTATAAAGTCTCCCAAATGGGTTATGATTATCTATAATAATCTGACCCCGTTAAAAATGCTCCAGTTAAATCATAACCTCTCCCTGGAGACAAAATTCTTTTCAGGAATAGAAAAATCTCTCATGGTCTTATAAACCAAGAGGATTTTTATTTAGAAGAAGGTTCGGTAAAGATATTATACGAATATTGTACTCTGAATAAAAATACGGATAAGGAATTCTTACCCCAACCCTATCCCACCCACGTTTAAACAGTAAAATTACCCTTAGTAAGATTTTACTGCGATACCAGTTTCGTTTTTCCGTTTTTCTCCTAATAAATATTAGTTTATACGTTAAAATGTTTGGCAATGGATTATTTATTGTTATTTTATTAGGTATCTATAGTGTGACAATATAATAAAATATTATTATGGCATGTTTCAGCATACCTATCACATACGGATTGACGTTGCAAACGTAAATAATAACAATAATAGTGTTGTCGTGTTCTCGTATTAAATTATCATTTGACAGATTAACAACTCGCATATTAAAAACAATAATACGGATGATGAATGGATTCGAAACGCAAGAAAACGACGGTTTATTTGATATT